TCATCACGACATTAGGCCACTCGTGCCGGTTACCGATTTTCCGTCTCCCATCTAGCACTAAACGTGAGACAGTTGCTTGCACAAGAAACCAACACACATTCCGAAATTAAAAAGCCAAAACATAGATTTGAGACATGGGTTTGAACCTCCTGCCCCACGAAGAGGGGCCTCGTGACTGAGGACAACCACCAGTCCACGAACTGAGAAGTCGACGGGGAAGGCTCAGCGTCTAGAATTAATGTGACTCAAATTTGTCATCCGACGTGACGCGTTTCGATTCCAGTGTGCCAACTTTACCTATAAGTTATGGCGGTTTCTTTTGCTCATTCATCGTTTGTGGTGTTTTACACTGATATCTTTGTCATTTCCTATACCACTCTCTTGTCCACTTGGCGAAATTTGTTTAGTCTTCCTGTAGTTCAAGAGCATCATGAATCGAAAGAATTCCCGACGACATGTATTAACTGTTTGCTTGAGGTGAGCGTGCTGGCCAAACTTGGCTGCGGGAAGTTTTGACTTGAGAGCCACTCAATCCAACAAGTGCGACATGTCCTTTCCAAGCGTGTTGGTCTGGGACAAAGTGCATTACACCAGGTGGACTCAGATTGGGATTACAAGGTGCCGGCATTCGGGAACACGAGTAACCACCTTCTCCAAACTTAAATGCCCATGTTCCATCATACTTGAAGTACTCTAGCTTCGTGAGGTTCGATTACCTCGTGAACAGCTTGGTCGAACTAATTGTATTTATTCGCAAAATAAGCAACCGAACAAGCGACGGCGTTTGCAACCGATGCAGGCATTGTTGCAACAAATCGTGCATTCTGTAAAGTTACAATTTTTGGTCCAACCACGACCTAAAATGAAACATCACTAGAGGAGTTGTCCACAAAATGTCCATAATTTTTAACCATGGACTCGGTTTCCACCGAAACTGGAAACACCGCCCTATGCATTCGTTGTTTTTCACGCTCTTTTTGCATTGACAACAGTCAGGCTATCAAAATCACCAGGTAATCACTAATGCTCCTTCCATCCAAACGGCACATCACATGCCGCGATTCAGCAACACCGGATGCGCCTATCAATGCCTCCGTGTCTGCCTTGAACATCAATTCATACAAAACACCATCTGATAGCGAATAAGAATAACTCAGTCAAACAACAACAAATTACTTCGACCAACAATTAAGATTACCAGTTCAAGTTAGTTTCATCAATTTGAACCCGTTTGCATCATAATTGCCTTCTATCAATCGATGAAACGAGATTAGGTGGTCAGTGAAGGCGGTGGAGACGACGATGGTCTTTCGATGGCACGACTCAGTCGTTCACTTTAATGCTCTGATAATCGGGTAAGGCAGTCACATTGTTCGACTGCCTAAACATGTCAACCTTTCCTTCATAATTCCACTTCGGAAAAGCACAATTAAGATTTGGAACCATCGTTAAAAAAAACTTTGTTGATCAAAGGCATAAACACTGCGTTGGTCTGGACAGGTGCAGCATGTATGCGGTGCATAATGGTAAACAGTGCCGAAGTATCATCCCTCACAGTAAACGCAAACAGTTGTCAACTGCGAATCAGCAGTGTCGGTGGTGCGGATAAGTTACTGCCGACGTCCGGTGTACTAGCCCCGTATTGCAAACAGTCAAGCCGTGCAGCTTAGTCAGTTTTGACGACAGCCTCGGTTGCAGGCATGGCGGAGGGCGACACCAACTCACAACACGCTTTCCCTCCTTGGCCACTTCACACCCAATCACAACGCTGGTGAACCAGTCAACACGCGCTGTTAAGTACAACTGCACAGATCCACAGTGAACTGGCACGGTCGGTGATCAATCCGACGTGGTTTTATTCAATGATGAATCCGTTCTCCTCTCTGTTATCAACTAAGCAAACCTCAACCCGCGGGTCAATGGTTATTCACTCGGTAGAACACCAACGAGAGTCTGCATCTCTACATTCATGCCAAATCAGAAATTTACGAATTCGGTACATCACCATGCTCAATCCCCTTTTCGTCCGCCTTTTCACGAATCTTACAACACTTGTTCATAGGTTCGTCATGCCTTACGCAATTTTAACCATCCTTCATTTAAACTTGACCATCAGTGTCGACATTAAGAATCTTACAACAGTTGTCTAAAGCACACACCAACAAATGCCAATGCGAACTACCTGCTGCTGGGTTCGCAGGCTACGCGCGTGTGACGTAGGCTCCACAGTGTACAACTTAATACAGCTGGAAATTCCCTCTACGACTGCAACTTCAACCTCACCTCCCAAGTAGCCGCAAATGTGCATTCCAACGCTTGTGTCCCCAAGTACGCCAAATTTACCCAAAGCCTTTACCACCATTTCACACAACGCAATTCCTTCACACAAAAGAATACGTAAAGTGTGGGTTGAACAAATTTATTTGATTACTAAATCCTAATTGTACCAAGACATGATCGCAACAATTCAGCAGTCTCCTCGCCACGTGGCCGTGTAAAACATGCAAGGACTCGACTTGAACTCGTCTGAGGCCATGTAGTCCTTGAGCTTCGGCAAATTCTGCGGATAAAAATATATCATTAGACCAACACGTCAATCCTGTTAACCAAAGAATAGCCATGAAAAGTGGGTTTGATGTGCAAGCATTTTAAAGCAGTAGCACACATCAATACGACCCGTCTATCTGACTGGTCAAAAAACTGTTCCGTTGAAGTGAAAATGGCCACCGCTAGCAGTGCGGGCACAAAAACACCCTCAGCCAAGGCCAACCAAAATGTTCCAGCACACAGTGCACCGCCATACCGACATGGAATATTCAACTCATGCCACCTCAAATCCAAACTGGTAAGCCATGTCCAGCAGATGTGTACAAACAAATTAACCACTTGACTGACTAGTCAACGTGTTGGGCTCACTTAGTGCATCTGGTGCCATTCACGCTACACTGCTCTCAACGAAGAAGCCTGTGACTACACTCAATCGTAGTGTATTTATCTGAAAAATCTGGTCAGCTCTAAATTCAAGACCACCGACTTGAGTTTAGAAGCATTCCTCTACTATCCCATTGAACCAACTGCGCAAAATCAGCTGCTTTCATCCCACCACTGCACAAAAAAATCTCGGGAATATACCTCAAAGCGGCAAAGGTAGGCCTTCAGCTTCGGGTGCTTGTCCAGACACGTGGGTTCGAATTTAACCAATACGTTCAGCATATCACAGAGGATGAAATCTGGGTAGTTGATCTACAAAAGATCGAACATTGAAAACAACAATCTCTAAATATCAGGGTCTTCGCAACTACCACGAACTTGAGACAAGGACAATTCAATCAACAAATCGGAATTTAAATTGTCAATATTTACAGCTTCACAAATCACATTCAGGATCTTGCTCTTTTACGACCTCACTTACTCCAGACCTCGCTTCAACCCACCTTCAACCCTTCGACTCAGTTCATTCATACTTAGCGAAATCACTATCTGCATTTCACGTCCACTAAATGTTCACATATACTCTCCACTTCAACTCCACTTCCGCGGGTCAACTGCAAACTTGAGACTCGGACAAATCAATCGACCACTCGCCATTCACTTTGTCTATCATCCTGCAAACACACTCATTGCCACTTCCCAAATTACACACCAACTTTACGACTTCTATACACTATGGAACACAATACAGCAACACGATGTCTTGACAAAATTAACTACCCGGGCTTAGCTATTCACGCAACCATGAGGGAGCCAAATACAGTAGGGATGTAACAGGCCGACGCTCTCACAGTCTCCTCTGACAAAAGCTGCTAACTCCACCCCCAAATCTGCACCCCAAGCCTTACCACGAGGTGTTCTTCAGCAAGACACGCACGATCCCACCAAATGCTCTAATACCCTCTAACTAAGTCGAGTACCAATGACTTACCTTGTCTCCAGTCAACCACTGTTTTTCTCCCAAGTACTTCTCAAAGTCTCCCAGTCTCTGAGGCAGTTTCTCCATAAACTCTGGCTTCAACTTCTCCTGAAAAGCACAGTTCGCTTCAAGTCACTTTAGAAAGGCATCCAAGTTCGTAATATCAAAGACAACAAAACATGGGTCCTTGCTTTTCATTAAAGTTTACAATAAACATTAAAAAAAACCAAATGACAACCAAACTTGATATAATCACGAGCCATGGCGCAAAACAAAGCAAAAATCAGTTATTTACAAAAACACTTACAAAATCAGGACTATAGCACATCATAGCGAAATGGAAACGGATATCATTGGCCGCATTGGAGAGCATATGCAATTCTGCACGCATCTTAGGACACGCCGGAACTACAAAGCAAACGCAATCGTCTCCCAAATTAAACTCTCTGCCAGTATCTACCAGTCATCATAGAACATTTCACAGACCACAACCGCTCTTACACATCTATTTACAATTCCGCCATTATCAGTCCATCATTAGCTCCTGAGCTCACGGAAACATCAACACCTGCTTCCAATCGCATTTGTCAGCACTGCAAGTATTCCATGCTCCACGTTCTCCATCAGCCCAATTGCAGCCTAATCTCGTGGCGTCACATTATTCAAAGTTCCAAGGCCACAATGCAGCCATCCCACAGTGGCAACTACATTTGTACCCCATATTTACTT